AAATCATTATCCAGGAGCTAGCCAGGACTGAGTGCATAAGGACTGGTTTCTCACTCTGACTCTATTTTCCGTCTAGAGATGAAGAGGGATGTATTCCATGTATGACTTCAGAGGCTAAACCACAAGGGAGCATCCCTGCAAATGACTGAAGACTTTCCTGATTCTTTAATCTCCATTGTTTCTATTTTTTCTTTTGTCTGAATGAACCTTTCTGCATTCAGCTTTCTCCCTCCACCCAAAGGAGATGTCATCAAAAGCCTTCCCCTCTCCCGGCTCATAGCATGCAGCTACATCATTTTGACATTGTTCATGACAAATGCCTTGCTCACACAATCCGATCAAAGCTCAGTCGATGGAAAAATAATGTGCCCTTTAATTTCTAAGGGTATGTCTACACTGGAGTGGGAGGTGTACTTTTCAGCTCAGGTAGACATACCTGGGCTAGCTTGCAGTGGCATGAGCAGTGGGAGGGGCCAGCTACTCAAGTACATACCTTCAGTATCGGACAGGAACGTACTTGGCACAGCTAGCCAGTCCCACTGCTTATGCTGGGGCAGCTACACTTCTATTTTGAGCACACTAGCTTGATCAGAGGTAGTGCGTGCACGTCTATGTGAGCTGGAAATTACACCGCCAGCTCCAGTGTAGACATACCCTCAGTGTCTGATTGTCTTCTCCCTTACATCTGTGTCAAGTGGTAGTAATTCCACTGAAGCCAATGGAGTTACTCCTAGTGTAAAATTGACATAAGGGAGAAGACATTCAGGTCCCATAATCTCTAAAAATGTCTGCTGACCTTCAATCTTTCATACCTCACCTTTACACAAATGGCTTTGCAGGGTCTGAAAACACACCGGGCTGTGAGCTATGAGTGTGTGAGGAAGGTAGGAAGCATATTGCATTTTAGGGACATGTTGTTAGCATTCAATATCTGTCACTTTAGGAAAATGGATGCATTGAAGGGCTGATTCTCATCCTCTCACATCAGTGTAAATCAGAAATCACTCCAGTCCAGTAGTGAAATTAAGCTTGTAGAAAACAGGAAGAGGAGCTCCAGGCCCACAGGCCATCTCCTATTGGATTGTTTCGCTTCATATTCCCACCATTGCTAATGCTGATCCAGCTTCTCCAGTGACGCCAAGAAACATATTTCACAGGGTCTGTTCCCACTAGAGCAGGGGTTCTCAAACTGGGGGTCGGGACCCCTCAGGGGGTCGTGAGGTTATTACATGGGGGGTCGTGAGCTGTCAGCCTCCACCGCAAACCCCGCTTTGCCTCCAGCATTTATAATGGTGTTTAAATTTATAAAAATGTGTTTTTAATTTATAAGGTGGGGTCGCACGCA